AAACTCGAGGTCAATGCCCACCAAACCCTTCTAGTATTTTCTCTTGGTCATGGGAGTTCTTTGTGCCAAGTCTAATTCGATTTCATTGTTGGTGGAGTTCAGAATGCTCTTTGATTGTAGGTTAACTATAAATTCCAGCAACTACAAAGCCCAAATGATAAAATAAATCCCCCTCCCAACCCCACCAGTATTCAAATTTGGGTGTATCGGGTATTTTGCCAAATGTGGTCCAGTGAATGAAAATTTATCCTGCATATCAGATATTTACATTACAATTTATAACAGGAGCAAAATTGCAGTTATGAAGTAGTAACGAAAATAATTTTATGGCTGGGGGGTCACCACATTAGGAAGGTTTAATTTTTTTATTGCTCTGAATAAGCAGGATTATTTTTAATATACATGTGTTATTGTGATAATTTAATGCTTATGTTGTTTTGTGAAATTTATGTTTACTTTGTATGTTTCAGTGATGTTACTTGGAAACTGCCCTGAATCCCCCTCGGGGAGATAGAGCGGTATATAAATAAAGTTTATTATTATTATTATTTTATTAAAGTTGAAAACCACTGTTCTAGAGGAAAGCATGTGAGCTTCCATTAGCATTCCTCACTTTCTCTGATTAAATGCATATCTCCCTTTACTCAAATGTGGCCATTTAAATACATATATATGAGCAAGCAATCTTCCTGATTAATTACAAGGCATGGCTACGGGAGGTGGAGGGGGAAGAGTCGAGGACTGCCCCCCAAATAAGGATGAATTTGTTCCTTTAAATTTCCAAAGTTCTAACATTGCAATAATTTAAAATTACAGCTGAACATTCAGAAATAAGGTTTAGGCAATCAATGAAAGGGACAGGTCAAGGGAATAAGGGAATAAGAATACAACAAATAGAAAAGTTCTAGGTATGAATGGTTGTCAAGACCTCACTGTCTGTAATGCTTAAAAATTGGGGACTTCAGGGGGCAATTCCCCAAATTTTTGCAAGGGCAGAATTCTGATTTGGCTCTTCCCAGTAGCTAAACCCCCATGTCTATGTAGCTACTACAGTATTTAAGACTTCATCCAGAAAGTACCTGGCAATTTTTTGAAATCGGCACAGATAATGGCATGAGATCCAACTTCCTCTTCTTTTCCTTCTTTTTGTTACAGGATCGGCTCTGCCTTCCCCAGTGGCTGATGACTTGCCTAATGGTAAAATATTAATGCATACAACTATGGGTGATGAGCGGGTGGCTGTTTTCCAACTGACTTTCTCTATATTTCTAGGAACCTGAGTTATTCGATGCTGATTCAGTAGCATGTCACAGAATCAGAGAAGACCTCATGGGCCATGCAGACCAACCCCCTGCCACGAAGCAGGAAAATTGCATTCAAAGCACCCCTGACAGATGGCCATCCAGACTCTGTTTAAAAGCCTCCAAAGAAGGAGTCTCCACCACATTCTGAGGCAGAGAGTTCCACTGCTAAACAGCTCTCACAGTCAGAAAGTTCTTCCTAATGTTCAGGTTCTTCCTAATGTTCAAGCCATTGTTCCAAATCCTCCAACTACAGGGAAGCAGATGTCACCTAATGGCAGGGTAAAGAATAGGGTCACCAGAGGTGAAACTAAGAGTCATGCAAGGTCTAAATACTGTGTTTTATCATATAGAATCAGAGATGGAAGAGACGCATGGGCCATCCAGTCCAACCCCCTGCCAAGAAGCAGAAAAATCGCATTCAAAGCACCCCTACACAACCCCTCAATCCCCTCCCCATTTCACTTTCTCCCTTCTCTACCGACCTATCCAATTTCCCACTTTCCTGTAAGTCAGATTGTTCCCCTCTATCACTGTTATATTTGAAAAATGAACAATAAAAAATATTCACAAAAAAGCACCCCTGACAGATAGCCATCCAGCCTCTGTTCAATAGTTATTATTATGTTGTGGTAATAGTTACCACAACATAATAGTCACGCCCCCATTTTGGGGGTGGCAACACTGATATTTTTGTGATCCTTGCATAACAGTCGCAAAGCTGTTTGGGGCTGATTCCTTCCTTCCTTCCTTCCTTCCTTCCTTCCTTCCTTCCTTCCTTCCTTCCTTCCTTCCTTTAAAAAACCTGAAATGGAAGTATCTGGAATTCGGATATTCCCTCCTTCCTCCTTCTATTTCAGATTTTGTAAATTGCCTTCTGAGGAAGGAGAGAGGAAAGAAGAGTGGAGCAAAGCTGCTTAGGGCTGATTCCCCCTTCCTTCCCTCATGCCCTTCTTCCTTCCTTCCTTCCTTCCTTCCTTCCTTCCTTCCTTCCTTCCTTCCTTCCTTCCTTCCTTCCTTCTTCCCTTCCTTCCTTCCTTCCTTCCTTCCTTTAAAAAACCTGAAATGGGAGTATCTCGAATTCGGATCTTCCCTCCTTCCTCCTTCCATTTCTGATTTTGTACATTGTTTTTGGAGGAAGGAGGGAGGAAAGAAGAGTGGAGCTCCAGAGACCTCCATTTTATAGTTTCTAAACTGCCTTGCCTTTGGAGAAAGAAGGAAGGAGGGAGAAATCAGAACCTGTTGTTTAAACAAAAAATGGAAACGGAGCTGTTTGTTTGAGGCTGGATCATCCCTCATCCTCATCCTCTTTCAGAGGCATTATATATATATATATTTTAAACCCCCAAAAAACATAAACCAGAGAATCAAAGGCAGGGATTTGCCCCCCCCCCCCCAACATAATAGTCACATCCCATTTTTTTATGAAAGCGTGTGTGTAAGTATTATGGGCTGAAATATGGTATATCTTCTATCCCAATCCCACTCAGGAGGGGTGTCAGAGGGTTAGGGTCCCAAATAATAGGATCTCCCCATTCATATTGCTTGTGTGATGCTTTTAACTTGTTTACTAAGAAATATATAAAGGACAGGGAGCCCCTGGTGGCACAGAAGGTTAAACCACTAAGATGCTGAACTTACTGTCCGAAAGGTCGGCAGTTCAAATCCAGGGAGAGGGCCAGCTCCCGCTGTTAGGCCCAGCTTCTGCCAACCTAGCAGTTCAAAAACATGCAAATGTGAGTAGATCAATAGGTACTGCTCCAGCAGGAAGGTAATGGCACTCCATGCAGTCATGCTGGCCACATGACCTAGGAGGTGTCTACGGACAACGCTGGCTCTTCAGCTTTGAAATGGAGATGAGTTGGACACGACTAGACTTAATGTCAGGGGAAATCTTTAACTTTAATATAAGAGACAGTAAGACAAACAAGCGGGGTGAGGAGTGGGAGATTATTAAATTACAAAGGAAGGTCAGAGCAAGAAAAGGGGTTCTGGCAAGGTGGTTAGAAGCTGTCCCATGTCACAATTATTGCATTTGATTCTCCTTCAGCTACCATGGTGATATCTCAAGCTAAAGCTAGGCTAGAGAGCTCTAGGGCTTCTTACAAACTAGACACCAGGATTCCGTGAAATGCACTCATGACTGGCTGCTACAATTGAATACTTTTGTAGTGTGAAAGCTCTCTAAGATATATATTTTAATAATGCAACTATTTCCTTTTTCTCAAAGCACAAAAGTGGAAGGAGGGTATAAAATCATAGGTAGGATATTTACATTCATTCCAAGGCTTGCATTAATTTTAATACTTTTATTAACAACTTTTAATATCATATTTAACGTTCAAATTGCAAGAAACAATATGCAAGACACATAGGGGAAGTATACAATCATAGACTGTACAATCATAGTCTTGTTCAACATCTTTATTAATGACTTAGAAGAAGGGCTAGAAGGCATGATCATCAAGTTTGCAGACAACACCAAATTTGGAGGGATAGCCAATACTCCGGAGGACAGGAGCAGGATTCAAAACGATCTTGACAGATTAGAGAAATGGGCCAAAACTAACAAAATGCAGTGCAACAGTGACAAATGCAAGATACTCCACTTTGGCAGGAAAAACGAAATGCAAACATATAAAATGGGGGATGCCTGGCTCGAGAGCAGTACGTCTGAAAAAGATATTGGAGTCCTCGTGGACAACAGTTAAACATGAGCCAACAATGTGATGTGGCGGCAAAAAAAGCCAATGGGATTTTGGCCTGCATCAATAGGAGCATAGTGTCTAGATCTTGGGAAGTAATGCTACCCCTCTATTCTGCTTTGGTTAGACCACACCTGGAATATTGTGTCCAATTCTGGGCACCACAATTCAAGAGAGATATTGACAAGCTGGAATGTGTCCAGAGGAGGGCGACTAAAATGTTCAAGGGTCTGGAGAACAAGCCCTATGAGGAGCGGCTTAAGGAGCTGGGCATGTTTAGCCTGAAGAAGAGAAGGCTGAGAGGAGATATGATAGCCATGTATAAATATGTGAGAGGAAGCCACAGGGAGGAGGGAGCAAGCTTGTTTTCTGCTTCCTTGGAGACTAGGACGCGGAACAATTGTCTTCAAACTACAAGAGAGGAGATTCCATCTGAACATGAGGAAGAACTTCCTGACTGTGAGAGCCGTTCAGCAGTGGAACTCTCTGCCCCGGAGTGTGGTGGAGGCTCCTTCTTTGGAAGCTTTTAAACAGAGGCCGGATGGCCATCTGTCAGGGGTGATTTGAATGCAATATTCCTGCTTCTTGGCAGAATGGGGTTGGACTGAATGGCCCAGGAGGTCTCTTCCAACTCTTTGATTCTATGATTCTGACTGTATTTTTACTTTTATTCTAGTAAGGTTTTTAGGGCCCAGTGACATAGACTACAAACCCCAAATTGTGCCAGAAGTCACTCTTGGACATCCAGATGACACCCAAGGACTTTGGTCTCCTAATATACCTTCTGTCCCATTCCTGTTTGGGTGGAGTGTTGCAGGGTTAAGGCCCACTTCCATCCCATTCCTATTGTTTTGTGCTGTGTTAGCACATGTTGGGGAACATTTCTGAGCTTCCCTGAAACTCTGGAGCAGCCGTGCACTAAGTCAGTTCCAAATTGGAACCAGTTTCACTGTTTACATGAGCCAGTGCTGCCATCCTATTTTCCCTTCACTCCATGGTGCAGGGAAAACAAGGACAGCACTTGCTTTGTGCTTTGTTTGGCATTACAGCTTTTTTTGGTGAGGTCCTGACCATTGCTCTTTTGCTGATGTGGAGCTCTGTTGCTGCTGCAACTAATGATGGCTCAGATAAGGGTAACCATTAGGCTTGTGCATTTGTATAGAGTCGCTATCCATTTCTGTTTGTTTCATTCGTAAGCCCACCTCTCATGCAAGGAATCATGCAAGGAAGCTGTCCTCCTCTTCCACCTTCGCGCCTCTTACCCTCTCCTCAGCTCTTGGAGGTGCCATGGCTGCACAAAGGAGGAAGGGGAGGGGGAGTAAGAGGTGCAAAGGGGAAAGAGTCACCTTCCTTGCATGAGAGACTGAGGCAGCAGCAGGAGCAATGACACAAGGTGGCAGCTCCAAGAGTCAAGGAGGAGGGAGGAAGAGCCATGCACATACTCTCCAAGGCATGTTAAGGAGGCTTCCCACTTGCAGAAAAGGAAGAACGGTGACCTCCTGGAAGAGGAGAACAAATGAGGGTTTACTTTTTGTTTGCTGGGGGGTTAATAAAATAGATTAAACTGTGTTCTTGAAAAGCAGACAAGGAAACAGTACCCGCTCCTGCTTTCTTTTGTTGTTGAGCAAGGGGTGTTCTCTGGTTTTGTGCTACAGCACAAAGTGAAAGGAACCAAATAACGAATTAAACTTTTAACAAATTAAAAGGGAGAAACAAATTTTGCGCAAATGTCTAGTGATCATCCTGCAGGGCTGAACCAAGTTCAGCCCAATTGGACAGTCAGGTTCTCCTGCCTCATTATGGAAGTTTCTGATGAGGCATCATCATCAAGTTGCAAAAAAAAATCCCCTTCCTTATATCCCTGTTTTGCCATTGGTCTTGTACATGAGCTATCTGTCTGTACTTCTCTGCAGGAGATGTTATGTATCCCTATGGGGAAGCTGAAGGAGATCAGAAGACCCCCATAGATGATGATGGGACATCACCAGAAATTCATATGTCAAAGCCTTTTGAGTACTTTGGCAAGAACTATACCAGCTGTTATGTGCGTATGACTTCTTTTGTCATAGAGAAAGACACAAAAAGGGGCATAATGATCAAAATAATCCTATTTGGGAGGTGGGGGAGCCCCCGGTGGCGCAGTGGGTTAAAGCACTGAGCTGCTGAGCTTGTTGATCGAAAGGTCGCAGGTTCGATTCCGGGGAGCGGCGTGAGCTTCCGCTGTCAGCCCTAGCTTCTGCCAACCTAGCAGTTCAAAACATGCAAATGTGAGTAGATCAATAGGTACCGCTCCGGCGGGAAGGTAACGGCGCTCCATGCAGTCATGCCGGCCACATGACCTTGGAGGTGTCTACGGACAATGCCGGCTCTTCGGCTTAGAAATGGAGATGAGCACCACACCCCAGAGTCAGACATGACTGGACTTAATGTCAGGGGACAACGTTTACCTTTACCTTATCTTATGGCAGAGATAAGAATCAGGATTTTCCTGATGGTTTTGAACTACAACATCCAGCACACTTAACCCTTGACTATGCTGACTAGGACTGTTGGGAAATAGAGTCAAATAGCATCTAGAGGAGCACACACTTACCACTTCCCTCTGGAATGAAAAATGCATTTTGTGAAATATGCCAATTTTCAGAACAGAAACAGCTTATAGCAAATGCTGATACTAGCTGTCTCCAAACAGTAAAGAAAGGACATGTATTACTAAGGACTTCATCCCATGCGATTAGTAAAGCATTGGGGATCATAGCTTTGCCCTTTAGCTTCACAACATCCCATTTAGAAATACTCAGGGTGACACTGGTAATGGACTAGGAGCAAAGTTTTGAAAATATGGAAGGCCTTGATAATTACTAGGTTTCTATGACCCACTAATATTAAACCCTCAGAGACAGATTACAGAACCATCATTTTCCAATCATTTTACTTATTTGTCGTTGAATGCTTTCATGACCAAAATCACTGGGGTGTTGTGTGGTTTCCAAGCTGTATGGCCATGTTCTAGCAGCATTTTATCGTGACGTTTTGCCTGCATCTGTGACAGCTCAGATGAAGGCAAAACAGGAGAAAATGCTGCTGGAACATAGCCATATAGCCTGTAAACCACACAATACTCTACTTATTTCTCAATTGTCAGCCCACCAGGATTGCCAAGATAATAATTTTGAAACATTGCAGAAATAAATTAAAAAGTTGGACAAATCAAACCACTATACCATGCAGTCTCCCAAGGAGCTCACAGCAGAAGTATTAACATTCATAATATTTTTGCCTGGCTTAAAAGGGATTTTGCACAAATTGAACTTCTGGGATACCTAGAAGTAGGATGGCCGACCAGTTTAACAGCATTTTTCTTTTCTACCCATTTTAATAATGCATGCTTTGGGGCTCTCTGTGTTATCACAGGTTAACAACAATGGCGTGGTTTCCTTTGACGAACCTGTCCCTGAATATACTCCCAAAGGTATCCCTCTGACAGATGGAAAGGCTTTTGTTGCCCCATACTGGGGAGATGTCAACAATGAGCTAGGGGGATATATCTGGCATCGGGAGACAAAAGACCCAGCAATCTTAAATCGTATGACCAATGACATCAATGAGTATTTTCCTGATTCTCATTTCAAAGCCGATTGGGCTTTGATTTCCACCTGGGATCATGTGGCCTATTTCGGAAGTCGTTCCAGTAAGGTAAGCTACATAGGATACAAACAAAAACTCTTAAATAGTATTGCTTTAAGGCACAGATTTACCAATTTAATCCTCTCCTGGGCAATAAGGACATCTCAAGTTACAGTATATGAGCCCATTATCTCAGTAGATCTATTTGCCTACTCCAGTATTAAACATTGCCTGCCATATCATTATTAATCACTTTATCAGCTCTAATATCAAGAAGTCAATTAAATGAGAATACAGTAAGAGCAAGTAAATAGCTATAGCAAAAGAGGGCGGACAAATGCTCCCTCTACTAACTTGCTCAGATCTTAAGATCAGTGAATGAACTGTGCAATAGCATTATGAAGTCCATCCTGTGCCACAAATTAACTCATTCTGTACGTCTTTGCAACAGACAAACACCTTCCAGTGTATCTTAACACGGGGCAAGGATGCCGCCTTTGTTATGCTCAACTATGGTGACATACAATGGACCACTGGTACAGCAAGTGGTGGAAATAGCAAGACAGGTCTGGGAGGAACCCCAGCACAGGTATGTATGACAAGATTAGACAGTTAAGGATTGTTTGTTCTGAGGAGATGTTGTCACTCACACACCCCACCCACAGCTAATGGCGAAACCAATAAAATGTCCTCTTATTCTAATTTGGGAATATAGCAGAGTAATGTCTGAGAGCCAGTGTGGTGTAGTTTGAGTATTGGAATACAACTCTGGAGATAAGGGCTTTATTTCCCACTTGGCCATGGAAGCCCACTGGGTGACCTTGGGCTAGTCATATACTCTCAGCTTCAGAAAAAGCTGGAAATGACTTCAAGGCACAGAACAAAACTTGGCTGATGTGCTTCACTGCTGGCTGACAGAGACTGTCCAGGGTCTCAGAAAGAGGTCGTTTGCACGCTTAGCATTTAATTGAAGTCAAATCAATGAAGCATAACAGAAAACTGATGGCTAAAACAAAAGGGATTCAACTTTAGGCCGTGCCATATCTAGAATTATGACAGGATTAGAAAATCCAATACTGTTCTTGTTCTTGTTGACTTTATTTAAAGAGCCATATGTGTTTTCTTTATCTAAGATTATTTTCTGTCAGCTCCTGGTAAGATTGGATCATGTTAAGACCGACAAGTTGCAGGTTCGAATCCTGGGAGAGGCGGATGAGCTCCCTCTATCAGCTCCAGCTCCTCATGTGGGGACATGAGAGAAGCCTCCCACAAGGATGATAAAAACATCAAATCATCCGGGCATCCCCTGGGTAACATCCTTGCAGATGGCCAATTCTCTCACACCAGAAGCAACTTGCAGTTTCTCAAGTCACTCCTGACACAACAACAAAACAAAAAAAAGCCAGTTCTCTGGGTCAATTTATTTTAAGCCAGTATAACATTGGAAAAAACAGGAGTAAAATCTGGGGCTTTTCAGTCAGCCTTGATGCACCCTGAAATCAAATTCTATGGATTGAATTTGGGAACTTTTGCAAGTAGAACATGAGCTCTAGCAATAAATTATAATGTATTAATTTTAATTGTATCATTATTTATAGTTAATATATTAATATACATTATGGTGGTTCTTTTACTTGGAGCCAAACCCAAGCCAGCAGAGTAAAACCCAGTTATCTTAACAGCAGTCAAAAGCAAAAAAAGTCAAAACATGACTGAGTTTGGGATCAGACTACATATGTGATAAGAAGGGAATTCAGGGTAGCTGTAAGAGATCTATTTATTTCTTTATTGTTGTACAATAACTCCCATCACCCTTATCTTTTGGCTATGCTGATGTAGGATTTTGAGCCCAATAATACTTGGATCACAGGAACCAACTCAATATTGAAGCTAATTGAATGAAATCTCTTTACCTCCAGATGCTGGTGCGTGTGAACTCCTAGCCAACATAGCTTATGGTCATGCACAATGGGAGTTGTAGTCTAGCAGCATCTCCTCCCACTTTGATCTTTGGTGTGACTGTTAGAAGCAGAACCCCTGCACAATTCCTCCCTGCAATGGAGATTGTTCATAGGAGGGGCTGTAAACATAAGTCTGATCCACACAATAGACCTCCCTCATTTGCAGTAGCTGATTATTGGTAAGGCAGAAGCAGAGGACTACCAACCCCTATGGATTCCCTACAGTATTGCCACGACCATGAATATGAATAAGTTCCAAACACATATTTCTAAAGGCCCTTCCATACAGCCATATAATCCAGAATATCAGGGCAGATCATCCACAATATCTGCCTTGAACTGGGTTATCTGAGTCCACACTGCCATATAGTCCAGTTCAACGTGGATTTTATACAGCTATGTGGAAGGATACTAAGTTACACATATCACACACATGCAAGATGAATCTGGCCCACCATGTCTTTTATGTATCCCATGAGATTTTCAATGCCAGGACAACATAGTTACATAGGTATGTGTTCCTTACTAAGGACCTTATCACATTGAGATATATGGTACTCAATTTCTGAGGGCTCTTCCACACAGCCCTATATCCCAGAATATCAAGGCAGAAAATCCCACAATATCTGCTTTGAACTGGGTTATATGAGTCCACACTCAGATAATGTGGGATTTTCTGCCTTGATATTCTGGGATATAGGGCTATGTGGAAGGGTCCTGAGACTTTTTGAACATGATTCTGAATGGTTCTATAACATGATATTTGCTCCATTCCATCAGTAATATGTTGGAATCTGTCTGCAAAACATTAGAAATGGAATGACACAGGATTCTAGTCATGTTTTTTGATTTACTACGATTTAATTTGTTGCTGAGATGCTGTTTTTATGACTGATCTGAAAATCAGGATGCATTCTGTCAGCTAAAACCTCGTGAGAATGGTAGTTCAAGTCTTCCATGCTATGTCACCATTCAATATTAGAAAAATAAAAATAAAAATGCCCCCCCCCCCCCACCCCCCCCCACCGGTTTAATATTAGAAAAATAAAAATAAAAATGTGATGTAGTGGTATTCAATGGATTAAGAGGAGCCAGCCTTCTGTGATGAGTCAAAGCACAGTATTTTCAAATTGTAATAATCATAATAATCAGGTGTGATGGGGAAAGTATGCATCCCCTCTGAATATATAGTATTTCCCCAGTCCTTTAAAAATACACAATGCATGCTGATATAAACAGATTATATCCTAATGTGATAAGGTTAAGTTGGGATACCCAGTTTGCTATGGTGATAGTTTGGAGGTTCCTTTGAGAGGCTGTGGTAAGGAGGTGAGAATCAAAATGTGAAGGATGAGCTGGAGGCAAAGACCTCTCTTGAGCATTGTCCATGCGTGGCAGCCTATAACAGAGTAGCCCTTTCACTGGTTGTCTTCTGCAGTAATTAAGGAACCTAGTCATTTTCATATTTAGACCTTTGGACTCTTTCCTTGATCTGAGGAAGATTCATATCCTAGGATGGTTAACGGTAAATAGATAAAGTTTGTACTTTAAAGATAAAGAATGTGGTTGAATATTGCACAAAGATGGCTGATGATGCTTTTATTTTAGGCTGGATTCAACACTGGTGATAATAAAAACTACTATAGTATCCCTGGTTCCCGCTCTGCACATATTCTCAACATTATTAACACTAGCAATGTGGGGGTCGAAGGACGCTGGGCATTCCAGGTGGATAATTTCACGGCGACTGGAGTTTCTGAAGAGCTTCAGAAATTAATACCCACTGTAGAGCCTGAGCCTGAGGAAGAGGAGGAAGAGTCACAGACCCCTGAAGAAGAGGAAGAGCCACAGACCCCTGAAGAAGAGCCACAGACCCCCATGGAAGAGCCACAGACCCCTGAAGAAGAGCCACAGACCCCCATGGAAGAGCCACAGACCACCATAGAGGAGCCACCAGCCCCTGTAGAGGAAAAGCCACAGACCCCCGAAGAAGAGCCACAGACCCCCATGGAAGAGCCACAGACCCCCATAGAGGAGCCCCAAGCCCCTGAAGAAAAGCCACAGACCACTGTAGAAGAGCCACCAGCCCCTGTAGAAGAGCCACCGGCATCTGTAGAGGAAGAACCTGAGGATCCCTTCGTGGAGGAAGAACCCGAGGATCCCCTATATGATGATGATGATGATTATTATTATGATTATGATGATGAAGATTGTGAGTGGTAAGTATATCCAAGCAAGACCTCTAGCATGGGAGTCAACTGCCTTTTCATGCAATCCTGTGACCAAAGCCTTCCTCATGTCCCCAATATTTTTGTCATGATAGCAGAGACTTGGTCCTTCCTTCTTTTTTTTCAGGAAAATACCACATCACATTTTCAGGGAATGTCACATAAGCAGATGACCTCCCTATTGGTACTTCTTCCCAATCAAAACATAGAGGGGGGAAATGATTTTTGTAGTGTTTCTCATCATATTTGAACATCCTGAAATATTCCAGTTGATTTTTCTGCACAGAAAAAATAGCTTTCCAACACAAACACATATACCTTTTTTAAAAAGAGGAAACTGTGTATCCTGCACAGGAAATTTTGTCATCTGTGGAGAAAGTGTGTGTGTGAAAAATATTCTGGAACTCCAAGATGGTCAGATATGGAGAGAATCAAAAATATGTTTTCACCATCAGTGAGAGAAAAATCACAATTATATATATTTGAATGCAAAGATGATATAATCAAAAATTATATCACTGATCCCTTCCAAGGGAAGTCAAATGGACTCTATCCCTTTGGGGCAGTGGTTCCCAACTTTATTTTATTTTATTTTTTTGCCCAGGGACTACTTGATAACATTAGTACCAAAAGAGTTATGAATCCGTTTTTGGTCAGCTTTAGATTTGGTTTGGTTATTGCATTGGATAGATCACATTACCTCTAGTTTCCGATACAGAACATATGCTATCCAGTAGTCGCCATCTGCTCCCCCAAAGAAAACCATATTTAATAATCTAGAACTGATACCAAGGTGCCCCCATTTCCATGTGTCACATAGAATGGCTCTGCTCAAGGGGAGGGAGAGAGAAAGGAGGAGGAGAAGCAGCAGTCAGGAGGCTTGTTGTAGCGCCTTTCATGGGTAGTCAGCCTCTCCTCTCCCAACATCCCCATTGCCTCAGCACTATAAGAGGGTTTTGCAAGACCAGTTGCTCTCGTTGCAATGGTATAGTAATGGTGAGGCTGTGGACCATATTTTAGTTCTTGGGAACCACTGGTAGTCCATGGAGCACAGTTTGGGAACCACTGCTTTGGGGGTACCAACAGGAAGTCAAGTCTGCATTATTTCAAATGGCCTTTAAACTTTAGTTGGCTGTTCGCACTATTTTAAGTGTGTTTTTTTTGGGGGGGGAAGGGTGGTTTCAGTTTCTTTTAAATAACAATTTTGATCAATTTTGTCCCTTTTTCATGATATGTTTTTATCTGCCATTTTTACAAAGGCTTTGCAAAAAGGCAGTTCTTTGTCAGAGGCTTTTCAGCTGAGATGATTCCAGCAATTATCTTTCAATATTTGTTTGTTTGTTTAATTAGTGAAAGACTATATTTATTGCCTCTCAACCCACCTAATTAATATTTTTTGAAATCAGCAAAACAGCGAGTCCATTAAAAGCGAACCGCAAAGTTGCAAGGGAGCACTGTAATACCATACATCTTGGTCCATGTCTCTTGAAATGGTCGGCTACTGCTACTATCACTCTCTTTACTTAACCTTGTTGTTTTTTTGTGTGTTCTCCATTGGGGGGGGGGGGCAGTGACAGATGATAGAATTATAAATAGCCTGTTAGCCCTGCAGGCAATAAGATGTTAACTAGCCTAACTGACCACAAAATGGCACATGCAACTGTCTTTTAGGAAAGGGCAGGGTTAATAAGCAGAACTAGGGAGCCCCCGGTGGCGCAGTGGGTTAAAGCGCTGAGCTGCTGAGCTTGTTGACCGAAAGGTCACAGGTTCAAATCCGGGGAGCGGCGTGAGCTTCCGCTGTCAGCCCCAGCTTCTGCCAACCTAGCAGTTCGAAAACATGCAAATGTGAGTAGATCAATAGGTACCGCTCCGGCGGGAAGGTAACGGCGCTCCATGCAGTCATGATGGCCACATGACCTTGGAGGTGTCTACGGACAACGCCGGCTCTTTGGCTTAGAAATGGAGATGAGCACCACACCCCAGAGTCGGACACGACTACTCCATGTCAGGGGAAAACCTTTACCTTTACTATTATAATTATTATTTGAAGCACAACAAGGTGAGCCCCCGTGGCGCAGTGGGTAAAACCACCGAGCTGCTGGACTTGCTGATCGAAAGGTTGCAGGTTCAAATCTGGGGAACAGCATGAGCTCTTGCTGTTAGCCCCAGCTTCTGCTAACCTAGTAGTTCAAAAACATGCAAATGTGAGTAGATCAATAGGCACTGCTCTGGCGGGAAGGTAACCAAACTCCATGCAGTCATGCCAGCCACATGACCTTGGAGGTGTCTACGGACAACGCCGGCTCTTCGGCTTGGAAATGGAGATGAGCACCACACCCCAGAGTTGGACATGACTGGACTTAATGTCAGAGAAAACCTTTACCTTTACCTTAGGGGTTAATAAGGATGCACAACAGTAGTAGTGGTGAAATGGAGTCTGCACTATGCTGGAAGATGCCGTTTCTTATGTAAATTAAGATGGCTGTTGCTATTTCCAATGGCGGGAAATGGCACCCATGGCACAGGCCATCGCCCCTCCCAGCCTCCCCCTCACTTATCTCAGTAATGATGGTCAATTAGAAATCCACGACACCCCAGAACAGTAGATTGGATGATGGTTGCTATGGTTATGTGGTTGCTGGTAATGGCGATCACAGAGCCCCCAGAGATGCATCCTCCGTGGCATTGCGCTGCTCCCTGCTCCACCAGCCGGAAGTGAGGTCAAAGATCCCCTAATGGCTTAACTGGAAGTCCCAGAACTAGACACTCTGTTCTGGAGTTCTGTTGTTTAGGCCCACAGACCTCCAGCACAGACTCTCTACACGATACTACAGCAAATGTTTCATCCTTGGCTAATGCACCTGCCGTGCAGGAGCTGAGAATGAAACGTCCTTCTCGGCATATGGCCCCATACTTCTCTCTATGCGACCATGTGTCATTGAACATGGCTATGTGTGTCAGTGCTGACATGCGTGTCATAGGTTCACCACCATGGGCATACAAAAAGCTCAAAATAAAATGGCAGGAGTGAGTGGCACTGGAAGGGCATCAATGTAATCTCTGAAAAATCTTCTTGAACTGCCTAGCTTTTTCTTCTAATGCAAATATGGTCTTTTTTCCCCTTCAGATAAAACCATCTCAGAAGAACTCAACTTCAAGTGGACATTGACAATGTCCTAAAAGAGCCAGATGGGATTTGGAACAGTACTCTTCGTAGCCCACTAGAATCAGGAAGCCTAATGCAATCATAGCTTAATTGTAGTGTAGCAAAATAATAAAAATAAATTCTGGCATTCTCCTTTTTGTGTCTCTCAAGTAGTGGAGTAATTAAGAGGTGCCAAGAGAGGTTTGCATGTAATAATGAGGTTGATAGTTATGAATTTAAATGCACTTGTGTGTCAGAAACAGTTAGAGAAATGATAACAATATGCTGTATTTGCTCTCAAAAGACACTTTGTGCACATTCAGAAGCCCACTATTTCTACTACAATTACATCCCATAGTCTGAATGCACGTAATTCACATGGTGTTATTTGGCTTTTCTGCAAGGACACAATTGTGAGTCTTTAACAACCCAGTAGTCCTGTCCATGGAACAGAAAACATACTGCAAACTTGTCAAACTTACTACCAAACAAACAAACCCAAATCAAGTTAGTATGCCACAGATTAGAAATGTGATTCTCTGGGCCTCCAATTGTTTTGGACTTCAGCTCCCACAGTTCCTAACAGCTGTTTAAGTTGGCTGGGATTTCTGGGAGTTGAAGTCCAAAACACCAAGAGGCCCAAAGGTTGGGAACCACTGTAACCCTCTGAATTCACCAAGCAAATAATTACCATTTATCCAAAATGCCTTTGAAACATTGATGGAAAGTATGGTTCCAAGTGCCATCTAGTGGACATATCTATGCCTCTCCCGTCCTTTGTGAAAGGGGTGCTGTACAAAAATGTTTTTAAATATGTTACAATGTTAATAAATAGAACTGGCAAGATTAAGATGTAATTTCTGTTTCCTAGAGTGATGGTAAAATATGATTGGCCAATATTCCACAAGAGTCCAAAGCTGTTGTTACGTATAGGCAGTCCCAGAGTTACAAATATTTGACTCATAGTTAAGAACAATAATAACTTTGTAATAGTAACTTTGTTTTTGAACCCCACTTCCATCTCCCTGAAGGGAGGCTTACACATGGCACAAAGTGCCTAAAACAACACATTAAAATAAACACACAGTACAATACAAGATAAACCAGTATTGTATAAAACAAGAATTTGAACTGAAAACAGTGCCCAATAACCTATACTGTCAACTGTCATAAAAACATAGCCAACTGTAAACAAGAAGAAGGGAAATGGATAGTGCAAGTTGTACCTAAGGGACATGGGCATGGGCTGAAAGTGCTGTGCTGTATCATAATTGCGGACCATTGGGCAAGACATTTTCAAAGGTTTGTCTAAACCAGGGGTCCCCAGACTAAGGTCCTAGGGCCGGATACGGTCCTCCGAGGTCATTTACCCGGCCCTCACTCAGGGTCAACCTAAGTCTGAAACGGCTTGAAGGCACACAACAACAACAATCCTATCTCATCAGCCAAAAGCAGGCCCACACTTCCCATTGAAATACTAATAAGTTTATATTTGTTAAAATTGTTCTTCGTTTTAATTATTGTATTGTTTTAAAGTGTTTTTTGCACTACAAATAAGATATGCGCAGTGTGCATAGGAATTCATTCATGTTTTTTCAAATTATAATTGGGCCCTCCAACAGTTTGAAGGACTGTGACCTGGCTCTCTGTTTAAATAGTTTGAGGACCTCTGGTCTAAACATCCAAGTCTTTAATTCCCTCCAGAAGAAGGACAGGGTGAGGGTCTGCAAGGAGGGAAAGGCCTGATTCCCCATTAGGAACCTGCCTACTACCTTATGCTGGAGGAAAGGGCACAGCAGGGGAGCAGAGCAGCCTTAAATTGCCTGCAACTCCGCCCCTGTCAACCGCCCCCACCAAGTCTGGTCATGAGTGTTGGAAATAGCAACCTTCCAAGCACCCACTAATTATCACTGACTTTTTAGGATGACATTATTTCTGTTCTTATTGCATGCCACACACATCTTGCGTTTCAACAAGAAATTGAAAAATGCTTACCCTAAATATCCAAGCAAAGAAAAAGATGGGTTTCCAACAGACCTCACAACCTCTGATGGTGCTTGCTATAGATGCAAGCGAAATGTCAGGAGAGAATGCTTCTAGAAGATTGACATATAGCCCGAAAAACCTACAACAACCCAATGATTCCAGCCATGAAAGCCTTCGACAATACATCCACTAACTGTTTATAAATATGTATAATTGCTAACCTATATTGTATGTACGTTTTGGTTTGCCAGTTTGACTGTAGCTCTTTGGTGTGGGAGGGGCTTCAGACACAGGACTCCATATGCTATCAGACCACAGTGGAGGTGGATGCATGTTGCTGTTTGGGCTTTAGTGGACAAGTATGACTAATGGGCTTCAGTGAGTACAGCTATACTTAAAGACCATGGACAATTGATTAAGGGTAATAGTATGAAAGCTGGGTCCGAAAGCTCTGAGCCTTACGCTCTTTCTGCTTCACACCTTTGGGAGCGCTGTTTGCGCAACACAGAACGGAACACAGATATTATAGAAGGAATGAAAGAATTATTTAATGGTAAAACCCTAACCCTTACCTGAAAGGGTTACCCTAAACCTTACCCTAACCCTAACCCTTAACCCTAATCCTAACCCAAACCCTAATCCTAATCTTTACCCTAACCCTAAACCCTAAGCCTAATTCTAAACCTAATCCTAACTCTTACCCTACCCCTAACCCTAAACCTCACCCTAAATGTTATCCTAACCCTCCCCTCCTTTCTATCATTCCACCAAATGGAAGAATATTCCCGCCCTCAGTGTGCTGCTCTCCCCCTCCCTTATTCACAACCGCCATTGTGGAATGTGCGTTAACGCTCTGAGCTTCTGGACCCAGCTATCATTCTATCATCTGATTAAGTATCATACCCTGTGTGCTCAACACAGAGAAAAAACTACATCTTATCTAACTGAACTCTAATAAGAAATGTGCCTGTATGATGACCCCATATATAGGCATGAGTGGTTGTAGGTTTTTGGGGCTATATGGCCATGTTCATGAAGCATTCTCTCCTGACGTTTTGTCTGCATCTATGGTAGGCATCCTCAGAGGTTGTGAGGTCTGTTGGAACTAGGAAATTTGGGTTTTTGTATCTGTGGAATGTCCAGGGTGGGAGAAAGAACTTTTGTCTGTTGGAGCTATGCGTGAATATTTCAATTGGCCACCTTGATTAGCATTTGATAGCCTGACAGTTTTTAGGTGTGGCTTCTTACTGCCTGGAGGAATCCTTTGTTGAGAGGTGATTAGTTGTCCCTGATTGTTCTTTGTCTGGAGTGTTTGAGTGTTGTTCTTATTTACTGTTATAATTTTAGAGTTTTGCAATACTGGTAGCCAGATTAGGTTCATTTTCATGGTTTCCTCCTTTCTGATGAAATTGTCCACATGCTTGTGGATTTCAATGGCTTCTCTATGTAGTCTGACATGGTGTTTGTTAGGGTGGTCCAGCATCTCTGTGTTCTGTGTCCAGGTTGGTTCATCAGGTGCTCTGCCCTAGCTGACTTCTCAGGTTGAGTTAGTCTGCAGTGCCTTTCACCTTCCTTGATTCGTGTGTGGGTAATGCTGCATTTGGTGGTCCCTATGTAGACTTGTCCACAGCTGCATGGTATATAGTAGACTCCTGCAGAGGTGAGAGGATCCCTCTTGTGATCACTCTATGGCAGGCATCCTCAGAGAATCCCTCACCTCTGAGGATGCCTGCCATAGATGCAAGCAAAACATCAGGAGAGAATGCTTCTAGTACATTTTCATATAGCCTGAAAAACCTAAACAACCCAGTGATTCCGGCCATGAAAGCCTTCGACAATACAGGGAACTCTACTATCTGGAAAAGGGGAGGGGGGAGCACAGCAGGGGGGCAGAGCAGCCTTCAGCTCCACCTCTGTCAACTGCCCCCACCAAGTCTGGTTTTCATGAGGGCCTTCAAATCCCCTCCCCACCAATGCCTTAGGCTTTGTCTGCCAGTTATGGGTGGGCCAACTCTATATTGGCTATAGCTGCTAGTAATGATGAATTGTCAACATTTTCTTGAGATAGTGTTTGCAGTTCTGGTGGGACTTGTTTAATTTTTGCTTCTCATAGACTTAGCAGGGGGATTTGATTAACCAGTTCAAATTCATAAGTAAACCACGTTTTTTAAAAAATTGAACAATTTCAGGGGGGAGTTGAACCCCCCCCCTTGGCTACAGCCCCTTTTTGTGTCAGGAGGACTTGAGAAACTGCAAGTTGCTTCTGGTGTAAGAGAATTTGCCATCTGCAAGGACATTGCCCAGGGGACCCAGGATGTTTGTGATGTTATTTATAGACAATAAGTTGATTTATATATGTTAAGGTAATATGTATATAAGAGAGCAGAAAAATACATTTAAAGAGGGGGATATTGTTAATGTAAGATTAGTGTAATGTGAATATTTAAATGTAATTTTGTGTAATGCCTGTGAATGTAACCTGATTGCATTATTTATTTATTTATTTCAAAGTTTTCTATACCGACCTTCTCACCTCATTGAGGGACTCAGCCCGGTTTCCAACCATAAAAACACATACAATCAGTAAAATATCATAGTTCACAATTACAGTAACACATTTAAAATAACAATATATTTAAAACTACGGTGGTCAGTCATCATATTAAAATCAAATATACATCATCTTCCATCCAAAATCCTAGGATGTTGTCTCATTCATCGAAAGCCTGTCTCCACAACCACGTCTTCACCCATTTCCTAAATGTCAGGATAGACGGGGCGGTTCTGACCTCCGGTGGGAGAGAGTTCCAGAGTTGCGGTGCCACCACCGAGAAGGCCCTGTCCCTCGTCCCCACCAGGCGCACCTGTGCGGCCAGTGGGACCGAGAGCAGGGCCTCTCCAGATGATCTTAATAATCTTGATGGTTCGTAAGGGAGAATACGTTCGGAGAGGTAAACAGGGCCGGAGTCGTTTAGGGCTTTATAGGTTAACACCAGCACTTTGAATTGTGCTCGGAAGCTAATTGGCAGCCAGTGGAGCTGGTGTAGCAGCGGAGTGGTGTGCTCCCTGTACCCAGCACCCGTTAGTAATCTGGCTGCCAAGTGTTGGACTTGCTGCAGCTTCCGAGCAGTCTTCAGAGGCAACCCCACGTAGAG